CTTCCCCCTCAGGGAGTGGAGTCCTTCCCCTTCTTCACTGTAGGGTCCCTCCCACAGGAGCCAGTCCTCCACAAACTTCTTCAACATGAGTCCCTCCCACAGGTTGCAGTTCTTCATGAACTGCTCCAGCATGGGTCCCTTCCATGGGGTGCAGTCCTTCAGGAACAGGCTGCTCCAGCACGGGCTTCCCACAGGTTCACAGCCTTCTTTCTGGCAGTGGGTCTCCTCCATGGGCTGCAGGTGGATCTCTGCACCCCCTGGGGCCTCCATGGGCTGCAGGGGGACAGTCTGACATCACTATGGTCTTCACCATAGGATGCAGAAGAATCTCAGCTCTGGCACCTGGAGCACGTCCTTCCCCTCCTTCTGCGCTGACCTTGGTGTCTGCAGAGTTGTTCCTCTCCCATATTCTCCTCTCTTCTCTGGCCACAATTACTTCTGTGCAATAACTTTTTTTCCCTTCTTAAATGTGTTACTCCAGATGCATTGCTACCATTGCTGATCAGCTCAACATTGGCCAGTAGTGGGTCTGTCTTGGAGCTACCTGGCATTGGCTCTGCCAGACATAAGGTGAAGCTTCCAGCAGCATCTCACAGAAGCCACTCCTGTAGCTCCCTGCTACCAAAACCTTGCCATGCAAGCCCAGTACAGCAATACATTCAGATAAATATTTCAAGTGAAAAATTAGTGTGTCAAGTATTTTGGGGTCAAGCTTGGTTTGGTCTCAAGCAATAATGTGACTTCAAATATGTTAACAGTAATTAGAAAACAATAATGGACAGTTATCTGATTCTATATACCATGAATGTCATTGAATGGATTTAAGTTCGTATCCTTTACCTTGTCCTGACTATGGAATGACAAGTGCTACTGTTTCAACTTGCACATTCCATGAAATTCCATGTTTTAGACATCATTCAAAATAAACAGTGTTGATATAATTTGCCATGAATATAAAACCAGAAGTTAATACTGAAGATCAGAAAGGAAAAAACCCAAAAAACAAATACACAAAGTGATTAGTTTTATGCTTCTTTATAATAAGCAGCAAACAGTCAAACTTGGATAGATCTGAGGAAGAAGAAAATATATATGGCTCAATCTCTCATGACTAAAAACCTAAATATTTTCAATAATAAAAAGTCAAGAACAAAAGACTTAAGCATTTAATTGCCAGCTGGCCTTTGCTTTTTGAGCCTGGATTAATTCTACCTAATGTATCCTTAAAATACTGTTAAATTCAATAGCAAAACTAGGAGCCATGTTTCTGAATGCTTCTACCTTACAGAGAAAGAAAAAGGGTAAGACAACACAGAAATAAAATAAACATTCTTTGAGGGTGTGGACTGTAGAGAAAGTACACACATTTCAACTGGAGCAGGTAGGAGGAAAGAAAAGGAAGAGGGATGGGAGAAAGCTACTAGTAATGTTTTTAATTGTCATCATATCAGATGGTACTCTCCATTCAGTCTATTAAAATTAGATGGACTCTTCAAAACAAACCACAGCTGCTTATTTCTCAGAATATCCTGTCTTTATGGCAGGCAGCAAAAGCTGGACATTTAAAAATTATATTTCAGTATCTGCTGTGGAAACACCATGCAATCACATGAGAATTAATCTTGATTTGATGTCTTTCAGAATTACTTTGAATGACCTGAAAATTTCAGAGATGTGTTTATTTACACCTAATATTGCCTGCCCAAAGTCAACTCTAAGAGTTTGGGAAACCAGACCAGGAGAAGAGTGGTCAAATGAATTCCTGACTCTCCCAAAAGATTTCATTGCATCTTAAAGTAGTAGAATCTGGGAGTGGAATCTCTTAATAATTCCCAAGGACAGTACTGGTAACAGCTAGGAAGGACTGTAAAGGACGATGCATTACATTTGTACAGCATAAAACAAGTGATCACTAGGCTCAAAAAGTTGAAATATAAATGTAAACACAAGGTGTCATGGTTTAGGAATGGTATTCCCCAATTTAGTGTTCCCACTGAAAACACCCCAGACCATGTGCCACTGGCTCACTTTCCTCCCCCCTCCCCACATGGTGGGATGGAGAAGAGAATGGGAGGCACAAAATGGTAAAGATTACGGCTTGAGATAAGAACAATTTACTGTAAACTGCAATGAAATAAGAAAAATGAACAGCAAAGACAATACCAATAACCAGGACACCAGACTAATCACAATTTACCTCACAGACAATTCAACTGGATTATGTTAATAAAAAAAAATCAGGATTCACCTATATTGAGGAGAAACATGCTCTAATTAGAAGCACAAACACAAGGCCAAGCACTAAGGAGCTGACTGATCTACTGAAACTATATCCTGGGAGTCTGCTCTATATTTTAACAAAATTACTGAGACTCTAGACACATGCTCTACTGTTGTGAAAAAATAAGAAACAAGTTTGGCTTTCCTTTGTTTCTCCATTTTGGGTGTTATCCTTTATTTCTCAAGATGGAAATATTAATTCTGTTTCCCAGTTGAGGTAAACTTCAAAAACCTGGATACTTCAGTCAAATATATTTTTCTCCTCTTTTAAACCTACTTTACAGCAAATAAAGGCCTTTTGTTTTGGTAAGATCTGATTAGTGAGAGATGCTTCTGACCAAATAGCAAATGAGACCATATGCAATACGGATTTCATTTTACAATAAATGTGAGGTAGAGAGATAGAAAGAAATAGAAAAGAGTAAAGGGTGGAGAGAGAGAGAGAGAGAGAGAGAGAGAGAGAGAAATCAAGCAGAAGACAGTCACCACCCACGAATACAGCAGCATGCCATTGGTCCTTCTTCACTCTGGGCTTCTCAGTGGTGGGGGTCCCAGAATCGTTCTTCTGAGGGTACCATCTTTATACAGTCCAAGTTCCAAGTATCACAGAGTGGTCACAGATGCTGTTCCCATAACTTGGGGTGATATGTGTATGAGCAGTTGCTCTCTTTTCCACAGTGGGAATTATTGTCTGGATGCATTAACCAGGATGTGCTAACCAGATCTTGCCTCACCAGGCCTGGAATTAGTGCCTTCCTGTTGCAAATTCCTCCCTTTTGTGCTTAAGTCAAGTTCCCACTGTGGTGGCTTATCTTATGGCAAGTTCCTTCTGTGACCTTGTGCCATGGTTTAGGAATGGTACTTCCCAATTCAGTGCCCCCACCAACTCTCCAAACCACACACTGTTCTCTCTTGCTCCCCTGTTTTCACCTCCTCCTCCCCACTGTGGATGGCTGGAGAGGAGAGCTAGAGGCACAAAAAGCAAAGATCACGGGTTGAGATAAGAACAATTTACTGGAAACAACAATAAGATAAGAAAATGAACAGTAACAGCAACAATATTAATAACAGAATGTACAAGAAAAGAAATGATTCACATGGAAAAACTCCACGATAACAGACAATACCAGAAGGCTCCCTCTGCCATATTTTCTCTTCTGGAAGGAGCCCCTTCTCCCCATAAAAGAGCCCTTTCTCCTGCTCCCAGCAATGACATGAGATGATATAGAATAACCTCCGTACTCCAGTCATGCTCCCTCCTGGCTACTGAAAAAAATTAATTCTGTCCTGGCTGGAACCAGGACACCTTGACAGTGAGACAGGCAACTGTGCTCCTTGCACCTTTGTAGGCAGACAGGCAGGACAGAGGAAAACTAGCTTTTTCAAAGAAGCCACCACTTCTAAGTCATAACACCTGATTTGGTTTTCTAATTCCAGCTTCTTGTCACTTAACCTAGTTGTGCTTTTGATAGCTTTTTTCTCCCAGTTATTTTTTTAAAAAAATATTTTAATAAAATACAACAAACTCACTATAATTTTAATTTATATCATATTGCAAGGTCTTTCAGCAAGAAAAGAGCAAGAGAGTCCCTGCCTCCCGCTGCCTCACAGGAATCAGCATTTCAGCAGCATTGGAGCCACTCTACATGAGTTTCAAGCTACTGAGTGGGGGTTGAGTCTGCAAATGTCAGGAAGTTTCTTCCAGTGTTTCAGCAGCATTGGAGCCTTTTAGACAAAAATAGGTTATTCCAGGTTTTCTTTTTCCCTGCTCCTTTTGTTGTTTGGGGGTGGGGGGGAGTTCTGGAACTGCAGAGGCTTGGTTGCTGTTTTGTTTTCCTTTGTTCTCTCTCATGGCTGCACGGTCTGGAGAAGAGGGCTTCTCTGCCATTTTGTCTTTGTCCTCTGGGCCACATGGGCTGCCATGGTGGCTGCCACCTTGGCAAATGGGAGCTTCTCCACCATCTTGTCTTTGTCCTCTGGGCCACTAGGCTGTCCAGGTGGTAGCCATATTGATTTCTTTTTTCTCGGGGAGAGCGCCATGTAACTCAGCACCTTTGTATCTAGTGGTTATTGCTGTTTTCTTGTTTATTGCTGTTTTTTTTTTAGTAAACGGTTATTTTTTCACTTATCTCTTCATATTTGTCTCTTCTTATTGTTGAAAGGGAAGTGGTTAAAACTAAGGGGAGATAACATTTCAAAGTCTGCACCCCATAAAATTGTCTTAAACTAAGGTTGGTTTTGAAGTCTCCTAATAATGACTACCTGGTACACTTTCCTAATCTACACCTAAAATTAGGAAACATCCAGCAAATAATTCCATCACCACCTATGTTTGTCTTTCTCTTGCAACATGAGAAAGAGAGAAGGCCTTGACACTGTATAAGCACCATTCAGCAGTAACATCAGTGTTATCAACACTTTTCAGCACAAATCCAAAACATAGCACCAGGCCAGTTACTGCAAAGTTATTTAACTCAATCCTAGCCAAAACCAGTACAACTTCATAAATGTAATTCTGTACAGCTTAAATTTATGTATATCCTTTCAATCCCACAATTCCAATAATTCTTATCTTAAAAAAAACCCCAACAACCATCAACCGTCCCAATCAAAACCAAACAGTAACAGTTTCATAAAGCCATGAGTACATAAGAAAACTCTGTAAGGACACTTTTTTACCCACTAAAAAACAACAATACTCAAATTCAGTAACACCTCACCTGCATCAGCTCTGGACCGCTGACCTGGTGATTTTCCAAATGGGGTCTTCATTCATCTGTGTTTAAGTGAGCAGCAGAGCTGCTAGACTAGGGTCAAAATCCAGTTCTTCCCAACTCCCCAGATATCTTTATTCTCGTAATACAACAGCTACTTATTAATATACCATCCAATCATCAATTCGTTCTTCCTCAAATATAGGAGAAGCACTTTCAGTTATATCACTCTGAAAAACAAATCAGAAAAGATAGCCTGATTTGAGATTTGGTTAAAATAAACAATGAAGTGAAACAGAATATTTTTTCTTTCATGTTCAATGAGAAGTCTCTTCATATTCTGTTATACTGGATGCATTCCATACTATGAACTAATTTTCAGAACTCCCATACTACATTTGAAAATTATAATGAAAACACCAGTAGAGAGAGCATGAAAGCATAGGATTCTCACCCCCCCCCAAGTTACAAAGCAGCTATTCCTGTTTTAAAAAAATTATTGTATTTCAGGGACAAAACTCCATATTTCCTCTGAAAGTTTCTATAATAGTTTTCAGCTTAGTCTGTACCACCTTTATGCTTACACAGATGGTTACTGTGAGAGATGCAAGGCATGGAAGGTAAACATTCTTGTCTGCATTACAGCACCCATCTGTCAATAGACTTGAACAAAAAAAAAAAAAAAAGCCAAGTGGGATTTTTCCACCTTCTGTGGAAAAAAAACCTACAAACAATGCGTGGCATGGTGCAGAAGTTTGCATGGCAGACCACGAGGAAGGGTGTGCAGGGAGAGCACTGAGGCTCTGCAGCTGGAGTAGTTAGCTGAGTTGATGGCCATCACCCTTGCCAAGGGAGCACAGATATGGTTTCGACTTAGACAGAATCTGTTTCCTCTATGCACACCAGAAAGGATGCGGCAACCCAAATGGAGTGTTCACAAAAACACACAGCCATCCAGGTCTTAGGCTGCAAGGAGTGCCAGAGTCGGGCGCTGCTCCTAGAGGGTATCCTAGGGTGATGTTATGATGCTTGTATCCCCAACCGGGTGTTCTGTTTATGCTGGATATTACATTCTATGCCTTCAAGACTGGCTCTGAGAGTGAAGGCGGGGAGAAGAAGAAGCACAGAGTTTTGTTATCAGCCTGCTCTCAGTCCTCCACTGTGGTGTCTGGGCATGGATGAGGCAGAACACCGCGCTCCATCGTTTTTTAGTTAGTTTAGCTAGCTGAGGCAGAGAAGTTCCCTGGACTGTTTTTCTTTCCATTTTTTTTTTTTTTTTTGGAACCATTCGAACCTGCTCTGGACCGGGACCTGGGGAAACACTGAGAGCTTGCACTTTGTAGCCTACCAGGGCCTACTCTGGGCAGCAGCCTTTCCCAGTGCCGGAGGGACTGAAAACAGAGCGACCACCCACAGGAGAGACTTTCTGAATTTGTCATCTCTTTAGAGCAATGAATGAGTTTTGTCATCTGGTATTTTTCATTTTTTGTGTTGGGGAGTGCTTTGCCTGATAAATAAACAGGTTTTTTCCACTTCTCTCTGAGTAAATTCTTCCCGAACCGGTTGGGGGGGAGGGGCCATGTGGGTTTGCTTTGTGGGGTGGCCCTTTTGGAGGTTTTCTCCCAAATTTGCCCTAAACCAGAACACAGGGCAACAGAGAAAACAGCTGTGTGAGGTGCAATCAGGTCAACAATCTGCTCAGCCCAGTGGCAGAGCTGAGAGAAGTAGAAAGGCTAAGAAGTATTAGGGACTCTGAGGAGATTGACCAGTGGAGTGGGACTCTACCATGCCTTAGACAGATGACCCACCATCTACTTCACAAGTAGCAATAGATATCCTACCCTCTCCCCACCAGGAAGAAGGAGGGGACTGTGGAGATGGAGGGGTGTAGAAATGGGTTTCTACTCAGGATGGCAGGCAAATCCCCTCCTGAGCTACTTCACCTTCCCAGATGCCCTTATACAATAGTTATGACCCCTGGAATCTGAGGACCAGGGAAATGAGAATGTGGATGAAAGTCCATCCAGGCTGGAGGGGTTGCCTAGGGCAGGGCAGCCTGCCTACTGCATCATGACCTCCTCACTTAAAAAAAAAAGAAGGGTTGTAGTAGTAAAGTGGTAGTCATTGATGACTCTTTTAAAAGGAACAAAGGGCCCAATATGCTGACTGGACCCAACCCATAGGGAAGTATGCTGCCTTCCTGGGGCCTGGGTAAGGGACATCACCAAGATACTTCCCAGCATGGTACGTCCCACTATTACCTGTTACTGCTTTTTCAGGTGGGCAGTGACAAAGTACCAGCAAGAAGGCTGCAGACAACCAAGAGGGACCTCAGGACCTTGGGACAACTGGTCGAAGGATCTGGAGCACAAGTTGTGTTCTCTTCTGTCCTGCCAGTTCCCTGCAGGGAATGATGGGGCGATAAACAGGAAAATCATGCAGATGAACACCTGGCTTTGAGACTGGTGTTACCATTAGAATTTTGGGGGTTGGGTTTTGATCATGGGTCAGTTTACATGACACCAAGCCTGCTGGCAACAGATGGGGTCCATCCATCTCAAAGGGGGAAAAAAAAAGATTTTAGCTCAGGAGTTAGCAGGGCTCAGTGAGACAGCTTTAAACTACATTTGAAGGGGATGTGGACAAAACCAGGCTCAACAGAGATAAGCCTGGGGGTACCATGCAAATGTTTGAGGGACAGTGTGCTACCAAGGTCCTTCAGTCTGCCATATCAGTGGAGGTAGGGGATGGAGATCCATGCAAAAGTAAGGATGCAAGGGTTAATGATGTGTTAAAAATCCCAGAAGTACCTGAGAATGGTCACATGAATAAGAGCTTCTCCCCACAAAAAGGCAATAGGGTTATTAGCCCAACTAAAGTGAGTTTACACCAATGCACACAGCATGGGCAACAAACAGGGGGAACTGGAAACTATTGCACATCAGGAAAACTATGACAGTTGCCACCACAGAAACATGGTGGGATGATTTGCACGACTGGACTGATGCAAAGGATGGCTATAAACTCTTCAGAAGGGATAGGCAAGGAAGGAGAGGCAGTGGGCTAGCCCTGTATGTTAGGGAGTGTTTTGATTCTTTGGAGCTTGATAATGTGTTATGACCTTGTTCTTGTTAATAGATCCCTTGGGGTGGATTAGAGGGACAATGAATGACTGGTGTATATATATGAGTTTTCCACCTGAGCCTTATCGAGAGGGAGGACATTGACATGATAAAAAGCATTATCCCACCACACAGGATCTGCTTCTTATGGGCCTTTTCCCTTATCTGGCTTAAAACCCAGCTTGTTAACAACATTAGTCACAGGTTATCCAGTACACAATTGCAGGGCTCAACAAGTTTATCTAAACAAAGGTCAGTTTGTAGTGGTCATCCTCTGGTGGTAAATGTGCACCCCCTCTGCACCTGGGCTGTTTTTTGCAGAGCAGAGGCTTTGCCACCACATACCCAAAAACTCTCCTCCTCACCTTCGGTTGGGGGGTACAAACCTGCTCTCAGCAAAGCACTCTGCTGCTTTTGCAAATGGCCGATTGAGTAATTAGCCGTTATCATTTCAGTCTCTCACATGATGGTATTATAGAATCGAGTGTTTATCAGTAAGTGTACTGGGGTTTTATGGCCAGGTTTTGGTAGCTCCTGGCAGAGACTTGCAGTCCCATGGAGGGAGGAGCCCATGCCGGTGCAGGTTTCCTGGTAGGACTTGTGACCCTGTGGGGGATCCACACTGAAGAAGCTGTGCCTGAATGACTGCATTCCATGGGAAGAGTGACCCACATTGCAGCAATTTGGGGAGGACTGTTGCTCGTGGGATGGACTCACGCAGGAGAAGTTCATAGAGAACTGTTTCCTGTGGGAGAGACCCCACATTGGAACAAGAGAAGGACTCCTCTCCCTGAGCAGCAGCAGAAACAACTTGTGATGAACTGAGTATAATCCTCATTCCCTGTCTCCCTGTGCTGCTTGGGGGGAGGAGGTAGAGCTTGGGAAGCAGGGAGGGATGTGGGGAAGGTGTTTTTAAGATCTTATTTTACTTCTCATTGTCCTACTCTGATTTTATGAGTAATAAATTAAATTAATACCTCAAATTTGAGTGTTTTGCCCATGACAGTATTTGGTGAGTGATCTCCCCCAGACATTCTCTCAACCCATGAATCCTTTTTTTATATTTTGTGTCTCCTGTCTGGTTACAGAGGGGAGTGATAGAGCAGCTTTGGTGGGTGTCTGGCATCCAGCCAGAGTCAATCCACTACAGTAAGAATCAGGGAGAAGGCTAAGAAGGCAGATGTCCTGGTGAGAGTGTTATAGATCACCCAAGTAGGATGAAGAGGCAGATGAAATATTCTGTAAGCAGCTGGGGGAAATCTTGTGATTGTTGGACCTTATTCTCATGGGAGACTTCAACCTACCAGATGTCTTCTGGAAATACAACAGAGCAGAGAGGAAACAGTCCAGGAGGTTTCTGGAGTGAATGGAAGAGAACTTCCTGACACAGCTGGTAAATGAGACAACCAGGGAAGGTGCCCTGCTGGACCTGCTGTTTGTAAATACAGAAGGACTGCTCAGGGTGAAAATCAGAGGCCATCTTGGGCAAAGCAATCAAGAAATTATAGTTTTCAATTATTAAAGAAATAAGGAGAGATGTCAACATAACTGCCACCTTAGACTTCTGGAGGGCAGACTTTGGCCTATTTAGGAGACTTGTTGAGAGAGTCGCTTGGGAGGCAGTCCTTAAGGGCAAAATAGTCCAGGAAGGCTGGATGTGCTTTAAGAAGGAAATCTTAAAGGAGCAGGAGCAGGCTGTCCCCATGCTGAAAGATGAACCAGCACAGAAGACAACTAGCATGGCAGAACAGAGAGCTTTGTCTCTGGCCACTGCTGTAAAAGACAACAAAAAGTGTTTCGACAAATACATCAGCAACAAAAGCAGGGAGAAGAAGAATTTCCATCCTTTTTTGGATGAGGGGGGAAACATAATAAGAAAGGATGAGGAAAAGGCTGAAGTACTGAATGTCTTCTTTGCCTCAATCTTTAGTACGACCAGTTGTCCTCAGGGTACCCAGCCTCCTGAGCTGGAAGACAGAGATGGGGAGCAGAATAAAGCCCCCATAATCCAGGAGGCAATGGTCAGTGACCTGCAGTGCCACTTAGACCTCCACAAGTCGATGGGGGTAGATGAGATTCACTCAAGGGTACTGAGGGAGCTGGCTGAA